TGTTAATTCACTAAACTAAATTGACAATTTTAGTCGATTTTACACGTCAAATACCTGAGTCAAAATAGAATAGTTTCCATGAAACTAAACAAGTCGTAGTCCATACAAAATACAAATGCATTAAATATTATTTTAATGTCAATTTTAACAGATTGATCGAAAAAATGTAAACATTACGAAAAAAATCATTTATACAAAATAATTATTAAAACGTGCATTTATATGCCGTAACACATGAAGTATGCAAAATAAGATTTGGTACTATAAATAAGTCAAAACAAAGTTTGGCCGAATCCATTTTATTATTATACAATGTAGCAAAAAAAACATGCAAATGCATTAAATTCTCAGCCTTGGTCATTTATTTTACCATAATTTATTATAATGGTTGGTTGATTTAATTTTTGTCTTGCCGAAAACATTGCATACATTATAATATTTAATTTTTCGATTCTAGCATGGGCTACTTATGACTTATGACTTATGAGGAACTCCTGAACTTTTTAATTTTTTGGCCTATCTACATTTTTTAATCAATATTTTTAGTAAAAATCTTAAATCTCACTTTTCTATAAATAGCTTAATAACCATCATACTATTTTGAATTTTACACAACGCATAGAATATGCTATTATGAAAATTCGGTGAAAATATTAATCATCTACGGTTATTTGTTTTAATAAAATAAATACTTATGAGTTATAACTAAAAATTCGATATTATCTCTGCTGGTAAATGCTCTGCTTCGGTCGCTTTTTGGAGTATAAAGTCAATAATAAAATAAGATTACAATAAAATAAATACTTAGATGTTGTTTGGTAGGTTCAACATGAGTTTAAATGTTCAAAATGGTTTTTATGTAAAAATGAAATATTTTAAATACGTAAATACTTTTCAAAAAAACTAAGATTTAACTTTAAAAAAAATCACTGTGTATACTGCATTGATTTATGTAAATATTTCTAAATCTAATTTATAATAATTATTCGTGTATAATACTATAATAGACACTTATAATAATATATTATGTACATCATAACAGTCAGACGGGATTGCATTCAACACGTTGAGACATTTAAAATTCAACACAAGTCACGAAAAGTGAACAGAAAAAAACTTAAAAAGAAGTCACATATCGGCGAAACTTCAATTTAATTGTTTCTCGTGTAGCAATATGGCTTGTGTATAATATCTTCACCATATAGTGAAAGTAAAAAAATAATGAACTAATAACTTATGTAATTATTATGAATAAGGGCATTATTTCTAAGAATTTGATTTTTTTTTTTGAGTCCCAATTGATGGGTTGTCAGGTAAGTCAAAGATTTAAATTAACCTCGATTGAATAGATCCGACTTTTTTCACATATGTTATGTTTACATATTTTGAACATAAGGTCTATTCCATGGTAGCATTGTAATTCGATTATTGGCAGTCAGATGAATTTTCAATGGTATTAATTATGTTATGAACGTCTATAAATATTGGGTTATAATACGTCTCACTTGAAACTTGAAAGCACATACATTAATTGTATTAACATGGTAATATTCAACTGTCATAATAACTATAGGTGCTTATAATAAAAATAATAAATATACATTGATTAGTAGGTAGTTTCTATTTCAATTAGTTTCTGATTTTTATATAAAAAATATTACGTGGAAATGAAAAAAAATTGTTTTTGCACACTTTGGTTAGTAAAATACATATTTTACAATTTTTTTATTCAATATAAATCCTAGCCCTAATAAACCATTACTATCTACCAATGTAACTAAATTTTGTTCTATTCAATATTTTTCATTTTGTTTTCAAATAAAATAAATAATGATTATTCATAGGTACTATACGAAAACAAGAATATTTTGAAATATATTCTTAAGCTCACTATAGTATAACTGATTCATTAAAATATGTTTAGTGATCATTCATGCAACCCGACACAAGTTTTTTTAAATAATTTTATTATAAAAAGTTCCCATTTATCTATAATAAGCTGGGTATAAATTTAGGTAGGTGTACTTTATTTTTTATGATTAGTTAATTGTTAGTTAAAAGTTTATATTTTAGATTCTAAACTGAACGAATGTGTGTGTGTATTTTTTTTTAGTCTATGTACACGATAAGTGGGTAGTCAAATAGTGCTTTGATTTCCAACTTGAAATAGTGGGGGTCTGGTAGAAAATTGGGACTGAAAAGTGGTAAAAACAGACAATTTTTGGTAGTTTTTATTTTTTTAAGGAATAAAAAAAATAAATTTTAGTAACACAAAATTGAGGTTTTTTTGATGTAAATCAAAAATAAATAATAGTAGATTCATTGGATTTTCATCAAATATTTATTACTACATGCAAATCATACAATTTTAAGTTTTAACTCTTTTTAAGCTATTATCTATATTTTTTTTTAAACTGCTGTCGATCTAAAAAAACTTGAAAATTCAATGTAAAGTTCTTTATGAATTGTTATACCTAATAAAAATTTAAAAATATTAAAGATTTTACATTACAAGAATATTTTTTTTAAGCATATAAAATTAAAATTTTGACAAAATTCATGAAAATCACGAAAATTTACAAATCATTTTGTGGTTACTGGTTTAAAATGTATGAAATGTTAAATTTGTACCAATAAATAGTCAATATAATTACTGAAAACCTGTGTTCACGCAGAGCCTCCATTGTGGCCGGCCTGTTATACTGGGAAATGTAATGTAGTACAGTAATGTAGTAAAATTGCCTATACTATACGCCGTCACATCTTATTAATATTATAATTTTCAAATTACATATTCCTGCTATGAAATTATTACAATTATTAAAATATCTGTTAAACAGTTACAAAAACAAAATTTAAGTATGAAAAAATTATTATTTTCTTGAGGACACAATTATATGACGCTCGTAGCTATTTGGTTACCGCATGTACATTGGACATATTATACACTTTCCAAAAATGATTATTTTATTATTTGTTTCGTACAAATTGTAATTGTTCATAAATACTGTTTAAATTTAAAACGCATAATACTCTAATCGTTTTGTCCTATATGTACACAATAATAACTGTCATAATAATTTAAAAGAAGTTAATAGCCAATAGGTTAACAATAAGTATATATAAGCCGTTTTCAATACTACATTTATGATTATCCATAAACATTATTGTAGCAATATTACTATACGACTTAAAAAGTTTTGACGTGTGCCTGTATCATTTAATTATACGACAGTTTTAATTTATTTCGCTCGTCGGAGTTCAACTATCATAACGGCTTGATGTACCACGATCACCTTCTAAATACTGGGAAAATGATTAAACATTCTAAGGTAGGATGACTGAGCGACAGTGGCTACAACTACTGTCGTATAACCGTAGCAAACGCTATCGCTTATTATTATTAACGCCGCCGAAGAATATAAAATATTACACACGACAATGTATGTGACAAAAAAGAGCCTTTGCTCCTCAGAGATAAAACTCACTGTTGGAAAAAAAAACAGCCACAATGATGTATTGTCGAATTTACCCCGTATCGGGCAAGTTTTATGTAAGTATGTGTGATGTATCACACTTGAGATCGGTCGACGGCGTATAGTCGCCGGGTAAATCACCGGATTTGTGTTCTATATCAAATCGTTTCGAAGATCGATCACGATGAATCGGCTGATTATACTCACAGTGTTGTACAGTGCGTAATAAATAAATAAATAAATAAATACCGGAAAATAAAATATGTAGTCTATATAATATATATTTCTTGATTTTTGATAAACATTTATCTACAATCCACTTGGTCCTGTTGCCCAAACTATATTAATCTTAAAACGTACATGTCTTTAGAGTATATGACATATATGCATATGTATATATTGTATATTATTATTATTATTATTATTATTATTATAAACTTAAACGTAATCTAAAATACATTTTAATTTTAATCAGTAATAATTTTTACCCTAGAATATTCGTTAATTTATTTCTAAAACCAACATAATAATTAAGACTAAACATATGACAAACGCTTTGCACCCGAATCGTCGACAAATAATGTTAAAATATTATGATGTTAATATTTAAATATATAAACTCGGGGTGTTTTTCCTACATCACAAAATTGCATTACAGTATCATTATGTGCTCGGACGTTACATTATTTTTCTTCTGGTCGAACGAACCCAAAAAATAACCGTTTTGACAGCCAAATTATTAATTTATACTGTAATTTGAGTGCAAAGCCTTGTATATTTAATACTACCCTTGTAATCGGTTTGGATTAAACCAACAGTGTTTTTTTTCTATATAATACATCGATCGTGTGAATAAAAATAAACAATTGCATTTAACGTTAACTTAAACTAGTCGTTATTAAGTCGAAAACAAATTGTTGTACAGCTCAATTTGTTTAATAGTAAGTATATTATATCCGTAAATAAACATAAAATAGGTACTAGTTAAACATGTGTATCGAATATTTTAAATTATTCCAAATCGCTATAATTATAATTTATAGGTTTCGTTACATATAATAATATATTATTAAGTTATAAGGTACAAATTTCAATTATAATTAATTATTTTGATAGTTCATAAAAAAATACAATTTAGTAATTGTTTTATGTGATCTAACAATTCAAGACATCTTATAAATAGTTTTTTTTTTTTAATATAGATTGAAAATAAATGATTTTGTAGAAATTTTAAAATGTAAATTATTAAACGTTAGGTATTGTTTATAATAAAATCATTTCGTGCCATCATTTGTTAAGAATTAATTTTATCGCAATATTTCGATTATTAGATAATAGTCTATTTTATGTGACACGTGTTTGTGTATAAATTGTAAAAAAGGCGTGTTACGATAGTGCCTAAACGATGAAAGAAAAAGTGTTATGTAACTGTGAAAAAATGTATAAATAATTTTGATGGCAATTTCAAAATGTATAGATACTTCTATTTTATTAGTAGGTATATCAATAAAATGTCAAACGATGAAACGACAAGATTACAAATTAACTGCATAAAGAGACGCAACAATATACGTTTAAATTGACAGTGTTGCATTTTAATTAAGGACGTCAGAAAAAAAATTTATAATTAAACATTTTAATATTATTTTCAGGATAATATACATAGTAAATATATTTTATATAGTTACTCATTATTTTTATCCAGTAACAAAAATAAATAGTATTTTGCTACTCAAGATAACAACCAAAGTATGTCACCTAATAATTAAAAATAAAAAATAAAATAAAATTTCTAATCACAAATTACAAATAATTTTTACTCGGTAAGTAGATTTACTATTGAGCACAGCCAGTAAAAGTTTTTGACAGACATAATCATAATAATTATAATAATCATAATTGTAATAGTATTAATATTAACCGACATCTACGTGTTTTTTATATTTTATTTTGAAATTATATTATAAATATTATCGAGCAAAATAAATCTCGTACGTTGACAGAAGAAAGACGCGTAAAGAAATAATATTACAAACTAACCTCAAAGTTCTTAAACTCTAAAATTGGCTAAATAGTAGAATATTATACAACGACGAATGTGAGTTAGTGTGTGTGTATGTGTGTCGCGGGCGTTGTTATGTCTTTTTTTATTTTTCTGTAACGTCCCCAGTGCGGCGGCCACCATATAATATATTATTATGGTTTTATTAAAATAATAATTTATGTTAACGAGAGAAACGTCCGTTTTAGTCGGCCACTTGGGAGGCGGTGTTCGTACGAAACGACTTGGACGCGTTTCGAGTTGCTTTTTGAACTCGGAAAACGATAGCACGTCATGACATAGTAGGTAGGTACACCACCTGCGCGACGCGTTAAATAATAATGACGATACGACGTACACTCTAGGTTGTACCTACCCCATCTACCTACCTATCAATAATAGTGAATTAACGACAGTCGGCAGACGGATAATATTATTATGTATAGATTAATCGATCTCGATAACATTACGGCCGGCACCGCCCAGGACGATTCCGATCAGATATTGATATATAATATACGATATAGTGATATACAGACAGTGTTGTACGGGTTTCTGCTGCAGTCGAACTGCCCTAAGACACAATATATACATTTTATTATTACGTGACGCGATCGCGTATCGCGATGTAATGAAATAATAATAATACTGTAATACACGAGCCTCGTGCACAGTTGTTGTTAGCGTCCGACGAACGGTGCGATCTATATTATGATAATATTATTATTGCGGACGTTAATGATAACAAAATTGCCATCACATCATATTATATTACATTGATATACGTATCTAATACTATACGTGATGCGCGTCTATATTATAGCCGCTGAAATAAAATTGTAAGAGAGAAAAACGTTGCGGTTTTTCTAAATTCAAAGACCAAGTCCAGAGAGATTAACGATGTGTACAAGACATGTACGTGTATCGCGCGCGCGCGCGTGTGTGTGTCTATATGTGTGTGTGTGTGTGTGTGTGTGGAAAAAAAAGAAGTGTCCGTTAAAATAGCAAATCGACCGGTCAATCAATCACACTCCATTTTTTTTTCCAGTACATCAAACACGCCGTCGTCATATATACATATATATATTGCATACCTATACGTACACTCCATATACTAGAAATTCTAACTACTAAGACTCTAATAATTACGTGTATATTACATACATATAATATTACTGGGCGATACAAATTATATGCTTAAATAATATGCGTGTGTATGTGTGTGGATAATATTATATTCGCAGCCACCATAAAAATATAATATTATATTATATGTTATTATTATCAGACGTTTATTAATCACTCGAATTTTCGGCGAGTCTTCCTATAGGCCCAGTCTTTTCGATACCTAAGCGCACGTGACCGTCCCGGACACCTTGTGCCAAACAACTCCGGCCGTCAGACATAAATATTAATAAAATAAAATTATATCGTCAAAAACAAGACGACGATGATGATCGTTCGAAATTATTGCGCTCGTTCGTTTCAAAGTGTTCCCGGGACTCTCGCGGACGCGCTTATCGTCGTAAATATTATACGATCGTTATAATACCTAATCGAATTTATCTCTAGAAAAATGGTTAAAATAAAGAGAGAAAAAAACACACGTCCCCCGAAAATATATAGGTTGATACAACGACGAACGGAAAGAAAAAACAAAACTTGATAAAAATGAAAATCAGTGGTAAAACTCCAAACCCCCCTCCCTCCATCCCACCCCCGTCCACCACACGACCAAACGCCTCACTAATCGCTTTTCTTGTATATTTGAGCCAGTCGGCGGTCCTCGTCGGGCATATCGGTGTCGGACCAGCCGTACACGTTCGTACACGTCGCCGGCTCCGTCGGTGCGCCGTCACCGTTGTCCGCCGCCGAGTCGGTGGCCGGCAGCTTGCGCGAACCGTCGCCGGTGCGCAGAGCCCGCTTGTTCACCAGTTCGGTGGGCACGGTCTTCAGGTCGTACGCCCACCCGATCAGCGAGAACGCGTCGATGAACAGCGTGGACAGGTTCAGCTTGTAGTCGAGCAGCTCGGCGTTCTTGTAGTCCCACGGGAACGTGTGGTGATAGTTGTGCCAGCCGTCGCCGCACGTGGCCACCGACACGAACATGTTCTCGGTGGGGTTGATGTTCCTGGAGGGCAAATGAACGAAAACAACATTTTAAAAACAACGCCACGTCGGTATAATGTGATACATATATAGGTGCACACTGCATTTGAAATATAGGCATCTATTCATCTGGATATGCAACTACAAAATATTATGATATGCGCGCAGGGTAACCTATATCTGATTTCGGAGTAAACAAAAAAAGGCGACACACAATAGAAATATTGTAGTAACTAGTAGTCAGCACTTTTCAGACCCCCCCCCCCCCCCCAATGACTTTTATCTTCTGGAAGGACATTCGAGTAAACGCGGGGGCGGTCAGTATCTAATTTGGTGGAAACGGGTATTGTTGTAAGCTTGTAACAGTAAAAAAGGTATGATTTTGGTGGAAACATGTTACGTCAAACAAATACGTTAGTGATTTAAACATTAATAAGTACCTGTCCGAGTACGATCGTACTGACGTACTGTAAATACAATGTGTAAAGAAGTGTAAGTTTCGTTTCCCTACCACGCACCTACAAGGGTTAAGTGGTATTGAATAGGAGTGATGGGCGGAGAGGAAGGGTGTTCAAGTCATGAGCCCTGCAATAGTCCCATCGATAGTATATAAATTCTATATGGTCCCATCCGATAAATCCGATTTTCAGAGCGATCACATTTCGAAGGGAATGAGTATAACAAAAAATACTGTGACGGTTCGCCGCCTTCGATATAGCCAGCTAGTTTATCCCGCTGGATTTTGGCGTTTTATAGGGATTACATATATACATTATAAGTGCTACTGCCATTGAATATATAAACAGGATGATTGGCGTAGTGGATTTTCGTTGGACGTTCAAAACATATAGGTAATAACTAATAGGTATTATAGAAATTAAAGACATTTCTGCACTAACCGCTCTATATATACAGGGTGAATACAGAATATGAGAAAAATGACGATAAACCATAACTCTTAAAGGAAACCAGCTAAACGAGACCGGATTCTACTGTTAATGGGGTAGGTATATTATAATTACTATTATTATACCTAAGTACTTGTGAACAGAAGGCGTTTAGAGCAACTAAACATACGTAGTAAAAGTGTATCTGGTGGGGGTCACATCGATCATTTACAGAAATATGTTACACCCAAACAAAAAATAAACACCAGAATCACTTGTTTACAATGGTCAGTAAAGGTTCTTGAAATACAATTTTTCGGAATTCTACAATCCTTTTGTAAGTCATACCATGTGTATTCAAGTATAAGTATATAGGTGTATGACGTAATGATGAGCGTCGTCATTACCGAATTTTCGTCGATCAACGATTTTGTTGTATTATACCACTACCACCACTGTCGTACCGCCACCGAAAATCGTTACTTTTACGAGGCGGCCGCGGCGGTCAAGTTGGCTCGAAGAAACAGAAAAACAGGGGGAAAATACACTTTATATTATACTCGTGTACACGGGCAGTGGTTGATGTAGTGTATCGACGAGGGCGTTCTATAAAAAGGCACTAAGTGACTTTTTTTTTCTAAACCGTACACCGTTCTACGGGACGCAATATACATCTTATAGAAAATTTGGACCTATATAGAATAAGACATTTCACCCAATCCATGTAATTCTGCAGAAATAGCTCCTTTTTAAAAACAACCATATATTATTATTATTATTATTATTATCATCATAGAATTCCTAAACGGCTAATCGACTTGACTAAAGGGGTAAGAAAAGGGTAGCGCTAATGTTACGATCGGATCGGAACATTTGGAACTGTCATTATTATGAATTACTAGGACGCTGTGAACTTGTAGGAAAATGCGCATTGATTTTAAGTTATTACAAAGCATTACTATATTATCTTGACTTTCATTTTAACATATTAGACTTTTAGTGTATTTTTGGAGATTTATAATGCATTTTACTCTGAATTTATTGAGGTTTCAAATGCATTTTTTAAGGTAATTTAGTGCATTGAATTCAAAACTCTAGTTATTACACTTTATAACGATAATGACGATATACGGAGTGATTTTCAAGCAAGCGCACTCAAAATTATTATTTATTAATTTGTTTTTATTCAAATTCTAATTTTTGAAATCTTTAAGTATAGATAATGACAATATTTTCAATTATTTTGATTTTTTATACAATTTACGGAGTGTTGTGAAGCGAAATAAACTTATTTTATTCAAACGAGAACCGAAATTTTTTACTGAAATTTTCAAGCAGATGATTCTTTTTAAATTGTTGATTTATTAAAATGTATATAAACCAAGGGTAGTAGTCCTTAAAAATGGTTTTATAACATTAGAAGAAGATGTAATATTGGATGAAATAATATTAATAATATACTCTGTTCATTTTTAGAAATGTTAATGGAATAATATCAGTGGTCGAAGTGGGGGGGACACTGTGGGATAACATCTCTCCACTCCTTTTTATAACCCACATTTTCCATCCTTCCACTTTTTTATGCAACTGTTTAAGGGATATATGAGAACTATATTATAAATTATGAAAGGCATTTCTCCAATCATTTTGAGCCACTTCGACCACTGAATAATATTAGTTACTAAAATGTTCGAATCATTGTAGCCCCCATATCTTTCAAACCCATCATCATATTGTATTATGGAACTATTGGGAAAACAGATTAACAAAACGTTATCTGGTGGAAACAATTTCAATAACTTTCAATTCGTATATGACCTCCTCCTAAATATGTTTTAAAGCTTTGAAAAACAGAATATTTGAATAAATTCGTGAAATTATTGTGAAAATAGGTTCACTAGTGCAACACGTTTCTGGTGAATAATTTATCGTTCGTATCATAGGTATACCGAAAGATCTGTTTAACATAAGACACTCATTATTTCTAAAAGTATTAATGTTTTTGAAAATATAGTTATAAGTATTTTTATCGTTATTATTTTTTTTTAATGTCTTACTTTTTTAATGGTAGTATGAATTGTTCATTCCTTATTAAAAAGCAGAATATTTATATAGGAGTACTTTAAATGAAATCGAATTTTTCGTAAGAAAATGTTAACGAAAAAATATAAATTTTCTTCCAAAAAAATTGTATTTTATAACAGCTTAAAATCGTTTAAAATAAATATATCTCAAAAACGTTAGGGTCTTCTGAAATAACGACGAACGTCGTGCAGTGTTAAAATACGTAGATTACCCCGTTTGTCACAACGGGTAAGGGACGATATTGTCAGCATAACGAGTAACGGCAGAGGAGTTATAAGATTCAACTCACTTGTCATACGGCTTGATTCCCCACATGTGCGCGGCGCTGTTAATGAGGAACGTGGAGTGCAGCGTGAGCACTTGCCGGAGCTGAGCGGCCACCAGGTGCGCGACCAGAAGATCCTCGCCCCACAACCACCAAGGCACGAATGTGGGCAGCGCGTACGACAGGACGGCGGCCAGCGGCGCGTACAGCTTGTACTGCCACATGACCACCCAGTCCGACTCCATGTCGGCCATGTCCACCGACGACACCTTGGACTCGAACGCCGGGTGCGGCATCATGAGCGCCCAGCCGACATGAGAGTAGAAGAACCCGCGGTTCGAGTTGTGCGGGTCCGCGTCTGTGTCCGTGTACTTGTGGTGCAGCCGGTGGTCGCGTACCCAGTTGTACACGCTGTACTGGACACCCACCGTCTGGAACAGGGCTAGGATGATGCGCAGCGGCAGCTTGGCCTTATACGCGTGATGTGACCACAGCCTGTGCGCGCCGGCCGTCACGCCGATCGACGACATGGTGCCGACCGCGAGCGCTGCAACAGAAAACGAATCGAGGTTTTTTAGTTATTTTTTCAAATCGCCTTTTGTGTGTTTTTAATTTTTAAATCGATTTATGAGGTTTACTGCGCGACCGGTTGCAGTGACATACGCTTATCGGGTCTATGACGGCAAAGGTTAAACTTTAACAATATATCAATTTTTATCGGCTGTTATTATTTACCGTGATATGCATGGAACGTAATGACTAATGACGTTCGAGTTTATTTTCAGTGAATTTAAACGAATAGAGCTACGCTGGTGTGTTGCCCGGTCCGCAGTACGGGAGCATTTTAAATCGTCATCGTCACCACGATAGGCGAGTGGGCGAAGGGCTCGGGGTTAAATGTTTTTCCTGATTTTGCACTAAAAAATAATGCTCTACAGACCATGTGATATATTATAGTCGTAATATTGTTATAGTACAGTAAAAACATCCCAAATATCAGTACACAGTACAATTACATACACAAACGTATGGATGATAATGAATTATTATTATTTCCACAGTTAAAATCGTATAATTTATGTACTTATTTGTTACAGTAAAATGTGCGGAGGCGCCATAATTCCTGGTCACTCTTAAAAGGGGGCGTGTATCCAAAAATCCTGGGAACTACTGAGACCATAAATTAATTTGATTGCGATACGGACATAATTATTGTATAAGTAACGGTCTAATCGTACGATATCGACTACCAATAGCTCTTTTAATTTAGAGTTTTGTTTTATTATATTCATTAAAAGAGTGTTTTTTAAACATAATATATTTTGTATTTGTATAAAATCCTGATTGTATTGTACCTTATTCCCTCTCCGAATGTGCTTTTATTCAAATTAAATAAATAATGTAATTCCATACCTCTAAAATCAAAGGATTTAAAAACTAAACTTTTATTTTTACTCAGCGATTTTACTTTTTGCAACATTTTTTACATTTTTAGTTTTTATTACATATTATAATGTATACCTAACCATTCAATGGAATTTTCTACATATTAAACGAGTTTGAAATTATAAAACATAATGATATAATGGCACACTGGAAAGAAAATATTACTTTTGATTTTAAATATTATATCTAAAGCCACTTGTTAAATAATATTTTCATGACAATTGCCCATTCGTCTCGCTGTGATCAAGTTGTTTATTATCTATTCACGATAACAGCAATTATAGCCGTTAACTGTATACTGCGATAAACAATCGTGATTCAAAGAACCACACAAAAATAATTGGTCAGTTTTCAGTACAAAAAATTGTCATGTTTAAAAATTGCTTGTAAGTAGGAAGATTACAAGATATTATTCTATCTGACTGCCAACTTTATAATTTACGAATTTTATATTTAATCATTTCGTTTAGATTTGAGATGTCCTTTTGATTTCTCGCTACCTATCTTGATTATTAAACATAATTTTTTTTTAGTTTATTTTTAATAATACACTCGATTTCGTATAAAATACGTTCTGATAATATACAAGCAAAATTATTTACCTAAACCCGGCAACGTTTAAAACTTATTAAATTTTTATAAACCATTTTATTTTAAACATTGTGATATATTTTTTTTTTTTGTGTTACCATATTTTAATATATTATTTACTACAAATTGATTTGTATTTTTATCAATCCCGTATATTATTATACGTGTACCAGTGTTTTATTTTTATTGACTCTTTGAAAAACTTTGTCTCTGCGTCTCTAATATAATAGAGTTCAAAGACTGAGGAAAAAAATTCCCGACTAAGAACCTTAAGCACTCAACTGCACCGAATGACAATAATCACATCTCCTGTGTCGAACTTTGGTGCGACGTACGATGTGTGATGATAAAATGTTTGAAAAGTACATGTACATTACATTATGGAAATCTTAAGACTTACCAAACAGTACAGTGTACAGCTTCACTTGACCTGTGACGCAGAAGTAAAGACCGGCCAAAGCCAGCAAGTGAATGCTTGTGAAAAATAAACGTCGGCGCCTCGTAGAGAACACATCGTCAGCTGATAAGACCAATTCGTCGGCCGGCGGCGGGCTGTACGGACTGCTCCTCACCCTAGGATTCATCGACAGCTCGTCTATATAACAGAACATTTTTTGGGATGAAAGCAAACCGCCAAAACGACGGTTTCGCCATAATGCGGTATGTCAGGTATACGTGCGATATTACCATATTATTTTTTATTACTTTTATTATACTTACGCCAAAATATTATGTATGCCCGCAAACCGTAGTACTTGACCAGGCCGACGATTTCGTTAATTTTGAGAAAAGCTTGACCTTTCCAACACTGCTCCTCGGTCGAATCCGACCTGCTCGACCATCCGTTTGCACAACCATTGGGCATTTTTCTCTCTTCCCTGAGTATGGTACTCGAGTCTGTGGCGTTGGGACTCATTCTGAATATCATAAGTTTATACGTTGTACTTATATAAAAATTTAGAAGTTAGAATTGTTCGCAACACTATAAATCGTTACGGGTCGACGTTTCTACGAAATGATTATCATTTTATAACAATATTATATTTGTGATGAATTATAATAATTGTATAATATTAAATTATCAGGCTTTTAACCGTATAATAATACCTTATTGATTTATACGTTGTTGATGTTCAATTAGTGTTACTTATACATTTTCGTCACTCTTGACACAATATGAACGGTTATGATCTGAAAAAAAGCAAACAAAACACGTTCAAATAGTTTGTAAGACTGTATACAAAATAATATAGTAATAGACTATAAAAGCATAATATAATTATAATAATACATATTTTTTGGAAAACGTCCAATTTCAGAAACAAAAACATCTCGTTTGTTTTCAATAATTCGCGGTCTACCTACTACCGCACATGGCCACATAACGAGGGTTATTATTATTAT